TCCTTCTCCGCCACGCTTTTATGCACTGCTGGAAGGATTCTTCTTGGATACCCCTCAGCTCCGTCGTTACGGCACTTTTGATGACCTCCCTACCTTCAAAACAGGCCCAGTTGATGATCCCCCTCAGCTTGAAAAGAATAAAACCACACGGAGCAAGATCAAATTGAATAGGGAGGTTGTTCCAGTACGGCGATGTTCTTCTCAGCCAGGAACTACCGGATGCTCAGGGAGTTGGAGCAAGTGCATTCTCGTGGTGAAGGAGCCGCGATTTGTCCTGCCACAGTTCTCATCTCTTCTCGTGCACTGAGCGAAGAAAACTCTGCAGGATCGCTTTGTAGACCTGCTCGTTGATAGTCTGGCCCAGTGGCAAGAACTCACATGGAAGATCCGTTACTTCTGTCAAATAGAATCAAATAAAAGTAATCTTTGTGCTAATTTATATATTTACCATTTTGTGATTCTGCAAATCTGACGTGTATAGTAATATAAAAAAACAGGGAAATCTCGTTAGAAATAAAAGAAACTGCTGAACTCATATGTAATAATTAGACCCTCCTATATGGCAATGAATTCTGGACAATCTCATCATAGATGAAAAAGAGACTTGAATGAGGTCGACCGTAGTCAGGTTCATCGCGTCACTACGAATTTAATGATCTTTTCCTTGGCTGCATTATATGTGTTTCGCCAGGGCTGAATACGGTTTTGAATTCAGGGTTGTCATTCTCCTAGACTGGTTGCCAACAATGGCTATAGGAGCCACTCTATCCTACTATTTAACCCATAAGCTGGAGGGAGAAGAGATGGATTTATACTTTGGGTATTTGCACATAATTTTAACGATTCATCTGGAATTCGAACTCGGCTCAACGATTTCTCAATCCGCTCTCCATTAGTCCACAGTGCATCCACAAAGCGACTTGAGGCAATATAAATATGGTTCTACAGAAGGATGCTGAGAATATCATGGACTGAACATGTGAATAACCAGAAGGTTTTAAGGAAAATAGAAGCAAATAGGACAATTTTTGATTTAGAATCAGAAAGAGACAATTGAAATTTTTAAGGAACATAATGAGGAAAGAGGGCTTGGAGAATTTAATACTCACAGAATGTAATGAAAGCATGATGTACAGAGGATAGCAGCAAATAATCTGGTATAAATGGTTTTAGGAGGAATAGCATAAAGACAGACCTTACTAAGAGCTACATAAGAGAGAAAGTTGTAGATTGGCATGATCGCTCACGTCCTGAAGTGACGACGAAAAAGTGTCTAGACTCCGTCAGTTTTGACAACGCGTTTGGTTAAGTAAAGTCTGTGTGGTTGATTTAACGACATGTCACAATTAGTTGAGTTATTTAATATCGGATATGATTCTTATAGAATAGAAATCACAGTGAAGTAATACATGTATAGAAATAGGTTCGGTTTACACTTGAGTCACAAGTTATTTTTATACCCAAGTATCCCCGTGAGAGATGTCCCCTTTTTCGTGGGGATTTTTATTTTCTGCAGAAGTTTCAGTCGGTGTATTCTAAACCCCACTAACAAGTTTGACAAAGGGCTTAACAGTTTTACACTATCATCACTGGATCGGCCAAAGAAAGAATGGTTGACACAAATGCTAACATATTTACGTGTCAGCTCCGAAATATCTTTGCCAAAATATCTGGTGATGTGCCAAAGAACAGGCATAAGTGAATACATGACTTCCCGAAGAAGCTTAAATTGAAATTTGATCACAGTTCTCTGTTCTGAGATGATACCTACAGAATAATGATGCAGGTAATAGTGATAGCGTTTCTAGTGTTTATATTTAATAAGCTTGGCTTAGTTCGACACATAATAAAAAATAAAGAGTAGTAAGTGAAGGTCAACCAGAGAATTCAAACTCAGTAAGGATGGTCAACCAGAAAATTCAGAGGTGATGGTCGACCAGAGAATTCGAACCCAGTAAGGATGGTCAAAAAGAAAATTCGAATTCAGGTGATGGCCGACCAGAGAATTCGAACCCAGTAAGGATGGTCGACCAGAGATTTCGAACTCAGAGCTGATGGTTGACCAGAGAATTCGAACTCAGTAAGGATGGTCAAAAAGAAAATTCGAACTCAGAAGTGATGGCCAATCAGAGAATTCGAACCCAATAAGGATGGTCGACCAGAGATTTCGAACTCAGAGCTGATGGTTGACCAGAGAATTCGAACTCAGTAGGGATGGTCAAAAAGAAAATTCGAACTCAGAAGTGATGGCCGATCAGAGAATTCGAACCCAGTAAGGATGGTCGACCAGAGATTTCGAACTCAGAGCTGATGGTCGACCAGAGAATTCGAACTCAGTAGGGATGGTCAAAAAAAATTCGAACTCAGAAGTGATCCAATCAGAGAATTCGAACCCAGTAAGGATGGTCGACCAGAGATTTCGAACTCAGAGCTGATGGTTGACCAGAGAATTCGAACTCAGTAGGGATGGTCAAAAAGAAAATTCGAACTCAGAAGTGAT